AAAATCTATCACACACTCGGCTTCCATCTTTCAGAACTCCAGAACAAGGAGTTCACGACGTCTAAAAGTCTTTAACTTAATCTCCGGGAGTCCAGGATCACATTTCATGATGTCGTCGAAATTAGAGGACTTGTCTTTACAAAAATTTTTTTACCCCACCGTCCCTACCTTGACGGCGGCTATTTTGAGAGAAAAGAATAAGCAGAGTTAGGCTGTGATCGGGGTACTCCCCGAAGCCTAATGGTGTGGTGGTGTGGAGATCGTATTCCTGAAAGACGGGAGTCGTAAAATTTTTGGCTATTGGAGCAACGGACGGTTGACAGTGCATAGGATCCGAGGAATGAGAGCCCTTCTTTGCCGGATGATTCCGCATTGATGCGATCTCGTCCGTGCTGCCCTCTCGAACGCTAACGCTCTCTCACTAAGCGGCTAGAGCTAGACGGCGAAAGGTTGTCCATTGGTAGGCGTGCAGCGGCGTGAGCGGCGTGGGTACGGCCTTGCTAGGCCGTTGAAGGCACACCCTTCGTCCCGCCTCCTTTTCGACTAGGTATATTTTCCCTTCTCGATCTTCAAACCTTGTAGTTGGAATCCTCCTTTAATAATTAGAATTTTAGGTTAACTCTTTGCGTCAAGTGATCAGACGAAATAAGGCAGATATGGCAGATGACGCTGGAAAGTCGCTGGATTTAATGAGAAGAGTGAGTGGTTATAATAAGTGACGTTTTGACTATGAGACTGATTGGTTTATTATTATTATTATTATTATTATTATTATTATTATTATTATTATTATTATTATTATTATTATTATTATTATTATTATTATTATTATTATTATTATTATTATTATTATTATTATTATTATTATTATTATTATTATTATTATTATTATTATTATTATTATTATTATTATTATTATTATTATTATTACGAAGTTATACGATGGCCAACGAAGCTACTTACCCTCGGGTTCGCGGTAAGAGATGCAACCCTGGGCATGCATTGTCCGGCCAACCACCTTCTTTCTCCTGGTTCGTTAATTGGCCAAATTTTCGCCGAGGATCAAAACACTGACTTTACATCGGTGACCCCGCAACTCATTGTCCTAGGCTGGATGGCCATTAGATTGCCATGACAAATTCAGCTTGAAGCTACAATGCATGGGATCTAAGGAGTAATCAACGCAAATGCTTCGCGTTGGCAATTGCCTTCATTATTATTCGTTATACTGCGTTTTATCATTACGCGCGAATTATTATTTCTTTCTTAATTTTATTTGTTTTCTCAAAATTTTTATTTTTGTTTAATGCTTTCATATTATTGTTTTTTATGATCGATATTCTTTAATCCGATTCGACTTTTTTTCGGAATGAACATGATCATTAGCTTCAGTGGGAAGTGAGAGTGGAAAAATAGGCTTTTGTCTACTTACCCTTTAGACCTCAGGGGATCAACCCTGGAGTGTGTGCCGTCCAGGAGAAACCAAACCTCTATCTTCCTGGGATCCTTTGGGTACCGGCCTTCTCTGGGAGAATACAGAACGCTAACTTTTTGTATATCGACCGGCCCCGCAAATTGTTAGGGAGTTGCTGAGAAAATTGCCAAGTAAGCATTTAATTTGTGGTTTTTAGCACGGTCACAATCAAGAAAACAAACTACCTTACGCAGTTCAAAATTTACCCTGATTATTTCAGATTTTCCAAAACGAAATCACGAAAGAGTTGCAGCAAATTATGGATCGCCACATTCGTACGACATTTTCGCCTGCCATCGAAAACCTCAAAAAGAACGGGCATGTAGGTGGTTTAGCTATACGAAATTATAATGCCATTGTCATGACCTTGCTCTATGATCCATTCCGTTCCACTTTCTTGCTGGGAACTTGAGAGTTATGGTGTAGAAAGTAACGAGGAATAAAGGGATCCGCAAAGATTTGATTATTTTAATTGAAGTGTGGGGGAGGAGGGTATGGAGGGCGTTGTGAGAATCTGAAATTTGCTTTGTATTTTGCTGCGAAGGCTAGGTGCATACGGCAGGGGTGAAAATCGTGTCCGAGGAATTCCCGCTCTTACGACCCCCCGTTTAGAACCGGGACCTGCATACGACCGCCTTTTGTCTTGCACATCGGATTTGGGACAACAAAAATCGGCACTATTCAACTATTACAACCCCAAAATCTCAAAATTTTATTTTTCGTCGAAACTTTGTCTATAGGGGTAATTCGGTGCCCTGATTACGAAAATGACATTCATTTTCAACGGGGGCGCCATCTGGCGCCAGGTTGGCGTCACCTTGTCACGACAGTTGTTTTCACCAAACTCGATGTAAACTTCTGGGTAGGGGTAATTTGGTGTCCAGATTACGAATATGACATTCATTCTTGGCGCTAGCTCCATTTAGCGCTTTAATCTCTTCGTCTGCGCCCTCCTAGTGACTAGATCGCGATCAGGACTAAGCTTTAGGAGAGAGGAAAGATATCAGTGAGTGAGCCCTCTACCCTGTGATCTCACACGCTCCATCTTCGTCACACGGTGCCTGATTCACTCATTCCGAGTCTCCCTATCCCCTAAGCTTAGTCCCAAGGCGCTATGTATAGGTGAGAGAGCCCAGAAAAGCGGGAAGTATGCGGTAAACAGCGGTAATGTCAAAAACGAATGTCATATTCGTAATCAGGACATCAAATAACCCCTATACAGAACTTTACACCGAATTTGGTGAAAACATGTGTCGTGACAAGGTGGCGCCAACTGGCGCCAGATGGCGCCACCGCCAAAAATGAATGTCATTTTCGTAATCAGGGCACCGAATTACCCCTATAGAGGAAGTTTCGACGAAAAATAAAATTTTGAGATTTTGGGGTTGTAATAGTTGAATAGTGCCAAAATGCTTCGTTTCAGATGTGCGAGAGGGACGCAGCGCCGCTGCCACGCAAATGCGGCTTGATCCAAATGCTAGATTCAATTCTTTCTTTCCTTTAAAGACATTTAACCTTTGCCACATTGGCCGGAAAGTGGAACATTGAAGTACTAGGTGCTGCCCCTACACAGTTGAACAGTCTCGTGCTCCAGTATAGCGGCGCTAACTACCCGCGATCGCGTCGCGCGCTGTGCCTAGAGCGCGCTAGTTGGAAAAATCGTCAAATGTACCCCCTATTTAAAGGACTATAACTTTCTTCATTGATAACCATTTCAGAAAGTGAAGGCAGCTTTTGAATGCACAAGACTTCTAGTTTCTAAATTGTGCTGAGCGTTTTTCTAAGCACGCCTATTCTCGAGAGTGGGAGACGTCGAGAAATTGTCGAGGAAATTGAAATTTACATGCGAGTTCCCACTCTTTGAAAGGCAGTAGCTGTCTTCATTGGCAATGCTTTGAAAATCGGAGGAAAGCGTTGTAAAGTAGAAGATTTACGCTTTCTGATAGGTGCTCCAGTTGTTTCGAACGCTTTCTAGTTCGCGAGAAATCTGCGTCGAGGAAATGTCAAGGAAATTTTCGAAGCCACTCGAAAACTCTATTACTCCCTCGCCGTAGTAGGGAACTTCTTTGAACACCTTCAAAATACTTCTGTACGCGTCAGTTCGATGGAGTAAATTGAAAATGATGCACTTGGCGCGGATCCATTCCGTTCTTGTATGCGCCATGCAGTGACCCCACTCGGAGTCATTGGGAAGGTGTTTTGTCCTAGTGACGACTTGCTTAAGCACACCAAAAGATATTTCCAGTAATAATTAGGATAACTCTTGTGGTCATGATGTCTGATCTGATCACTCCTTTATTCAAATCGCTTCCTTTCCAACCCGTTCTGATGAATGACAGCTTGCGGTTGCAGGATCTGATGATGCCAAGAAGGCTGCGAATCTGCCTGTTTTGAACTTTCTACCAAGATGCTGTTCCTCCACTAAGTTCTCGTATATTTTAGAGAAGATTTTCGCTGCCCTTTCCCTACGATTTTTTGCAGGACGCGTTGCCTTCCTATGCCATACTGATCACCACGAACCAAACCAACAACCACTTTCCATTTAAATTTTAATTCCAGACAGTTGTGAAGATATTATTTGCATTAGGCTAACTACAACACTTGTGAAACTAATGATGACAGCAAATAAGTGGCAGCAGCACCGTTGTGTCCGTTGATGAACCTTTTTGATTACGACCCCCTCCCAACTCTCATCGGAGCAAATACGACCCCCTGTCGAGGATTTCCTCGACCGTTATTCACCCTGGCTAGGTTCGTCAATATAGCAGAAAGCTGAGCTCTTGATTGAAATTGAGGGGCGGGCGAGTGAGCGGGGTGCGCTCCAGGATTCATGTTAGGTATACGGGCAGTGTTCGTATAATGTAAAATATACAAAGTTATGTTCGGATAAAGGATAAAGATAAAGCATTTGCCGTTGATCAATCCCTTTTTGGGATGCGGCACGCATTCTACTTCCATTTGTACATTCGTAGTGGCGTTTGAATGCGATGTGGCCTATACAATGACTTGCGGGGGCCAGCCGATGTACAAGTCAGTGTTTTTATCCTCCCAGACAAGTCTGGTACCAATTAACCGACCCCGGAGGGATGGAAGGCTTGGTTGGCCCGGGCGACTCACGACCCAAGAGATTTGATCCCGGACCGCAGCACGTGTTAGCGTGCACAGCTTGTCACTACACCACTGCCGCCCCTTCGGGATATTGGATTATCAAGGCACACTACGCGCAGATGTGGCAACACCTCACGCTACTCAGCAAGACCCAGTGTATGGTGTCTGTTCATGAGGGGGAGAACACGATGGAACGTTCGCAGAGAACAAGCGACATTGGATACGGTACCTTGGTCTATAGTGAGCGCCAGGGGGCGATGGATCTCCTGACGTTAGAGTTCATTGAGAACAAGGCAAAGAATAGGGAGCAGTTTTGCGCAATGTAATTTATTTCTAGAAAGGAATTGATAAGCTGTATATCGGTTGCCGAGTGGAAAGCTAAGGCTTTGCTTGTTGGACAGGTATAGTCTGTGGGTACTTAACGGGGTTGTATAAAGGCACAAATGCACTTATGAATGTGCCTTCCATGAGCGCAGGTAATTTCACTTTTGCGTTCTCAAAACACCACAATATGTTTCCCTCTGATTTTTCCGTTATTCAATTTCCGAGAGCTACTCCATTTTCTCTGCGAATTTTCGGTATTTTTAGGCTGTCGACCAGGACGTTATCAACGACCTATACACCAGTATTTTGGAAGCGGCGAAAGCTTCATTCATGAGGGATCGCGCATCGACAATGAACCGCGATCGGCTCAATTCAGAGAAAAGCATGAAGGTGAGGGATGGGAATTTTTCGTCAGAGTCCTTGAAGATTACAGTCCAACTCGAATATTTTGTGTGCAAAATTAGGAACTTTGCGTTTGGTTGTCAGGTCCTCATGCGCACAGCCTTCTACAATACTTAGGCGCTTGAACTGGCGACAAGATTAGCAACATTGCGCAGAAATACTGTAGCGAGGTCAAGTTCTTGCTCCTATCTGAGATTCTCAGTCCCTCTATGGCCGATGTCAGACTTTGCGAATCGCGCGATTCGCTAGCGTCTGCGGTCGCGTCGCGGCCAGTGAATCACTCAATTGGCTGGTACCGCAACGCGACCGCGGACGCTAGCGAATCGCGCGAATCGCTAGTAGCGAATCGCGCGATTCGCAAAGTCTGACATCGGCCTAGAAGGTTAAATATTTGAATAACGCGGGAAAAGGAGCGTCTCTATTTTCGAAAAAGGCACCAAAAAGAGAAACTTCACTTTTCACTGTTTCCAAACGTTTTTTAATAGAAGTTACCGTATGTGGTGGCTTTGGCTTCACGCCAATCATTTCTTTCTCTCACATCCTGTTTTTCAATTTTGTTTCAATTTGACTTTTTGGTCCTTTTTTCGGGGCCATTTTACTAGGATGGATAATGAATAATAAAAATTAAGTAAATAAATAAATAAATAAAATCAAATTCTTGAAAATTTGTCCCACTTGAAATAGATTACTTTTGCAGAGAGGATACGAATCAGATGAGTCCGACATTAGCATATTGAGTCAGTCAAGCGAGATTAAACGCAGACGTGGAAGACCACGGAAGGTAAGATTTTTCTGGGCGCTATCGCAACATACGGGGGCATTATAGTGGCAGTGCATTTGAAACCACCAAGAAAAAAAAAAAAAACAAAACTAAGCCACATGCGAGGGATTAGAGACTCCAAGGTGCTTGAGCAGGTTCATTTTCACAAAGTTCTAGCTCCCTGCCCCATTCTAGGCTTGGTTTCAGAAAATGCCCCGTATCTCGCGATAGCGCCCTTTTCTGTTTCAATGCGAAGTTAGTAAAGAATCCAAGATTTTCCACTTCGGAATCGAAGTATTTGCTCTCTGAGAGCATTTCGATCGCTAACTGAAGGTATTTCAGGATGAGGAGCCTTCGCTGGATCTTTCACCCCTCACACTGAATGAGGTGTTGAGATGGTGTCCGGAACGTCATCTTCTCAGCACTCGATACATTCCAGCAGCTAAAGTTGCCGCTCTGCTTTCCATACCAGTCACGGTGTTCTTTAACAAATATCCCAGAATGTTCCGGGTAAGCTTTCAAGTAACAAGTTCAGCAACGGCATCAATAATAATAAAGCATAATATAAAATAACCAAAGGACAAAAGGATGAAACCTCGGCGTTTATCAAACCCTTTTACGGGATGCGCCACGCGTTCTTCCTCCACTCAGAATCATGGTTACACTGGAATGCGTTTCGCCTATACAATGACTTGCAGGCCAGCTGATGCGCAAGTCTGGTAGCAATTAATTGAATCCGAAGGTTGGGAGGATTTTTGACCTGGGCGAAATTCGATCGAAGATTTTACCCGTGGACGTGGAAAGTGGCACCTTTTGTCACCATACCACCTTTTGCTAAAAGTGCATATTGAACCTACCAACCTAACCTATTGAATTATATATAATTATAACAATATTTTACATTTCAGTATTCCTGTGACGAGGAAGACCGTGCTCTCCTAATGGAGGAGAAGAAACTGTCGAGAAGTGCCGGCCGCTGTTACCTCATGGTCATGGATGATGTCACTGAACTGCTGGGTCGATCGTGAGTGATTCTCCATCTCTATAATGTAAAATGGAGTAAAAAAACCTTTATGATTTCTGGTGATTTGGAAAATGAGGATAATAAGACGTTGGGCAGAGAGCATGTTTTGTAGTCCTAAAGCATCTAATGAAGTTATTATGTTTACAATAAAACAAGTTGAATCGAACTAATTTTATTATTATCCTGATAACGATGTTTATTCGAAATTGAACATTATTCTATGAGTTGGTTTATATTTATTTGGAGGGGTGGTGAACAAAGAAGTCGTTTAGTCTCCGTTTCGCACGTGACCCTTAGACGGAGACTAGACAAGTGAAGTCTCCTCCCTCTGTAACAAGTTAAGTCTCCTCCAAGTATTAAGTTCTAAGCTTTCTCACCTTAAAATCCTGCTTTGCGCAAAGGCGATGACGTGACCAATGAGGCTCTGCCGGTGCGTTTATTGCTGGTTGAAAAACCCCGACATCTTACTTGTTGTGTTCTGTGCCTTTGCTTTTGCGACGAGGTTGATGGGTGGAATACTTATGATGGATGCCAACGTCTCGACCTTCACCTCATTCTCAAGGCCTCAGATTTATTATTAGATTGAATTAAACTTACTTTACATTTGAGATTAGTCTAGCATCACTACTACACTGCAGCGGTGAAATCTGATGGCTCTGAAAACGACGTGAGGGGGAGGCGTTTTCCACATCTTTTTCATGAGATGTGCCTTTTATAATAACTCTCATTCCACCAGTTTATCGTCCTTTGAGGAGTACCACTTCTCTGAAGGTACCTGTAAGTCCATTCCGGACAATCCCCAACTCGATTTTCTTTAGTTCTTGGGTATGCGTTTTCGCAGCCACTTTATTTCCCACCGACCATATAATCGCGTCTATTATCGGTGTCGATTTCACGTAAGAGCGCACCGCGCGTCCGGCGTCCCCGCAACTGGAAAGCTTCACCTGCTCAATTACATATGAAATAACAATGATGTAACTTCCTAGTGAAAGTGGATAGACTACTGCAACAGAGACACATACTATCCGAAGATTTAATACGCTGCGCGTTTCTGGATTTTTTCGATCTCCCAAATATTTCTACCCTCACAGAAATTCGGCTGTGACATCTTATAAAAGGTCAGCTTCTACCCTGGGAAGTATGCAAGCGAGGTGAACTTTCCATTTGGCCATGTCAGCCACTTGGGTTTCCACATTCCACGGCTTTGAGACTCGGCTTGCTTTGAGGTCATCTTCTTGCAATATATGAAGAGGTTAAGCTCTTCAGTTTTCCTTCGTCACCGACTCTGAGACTTGACGCTGGAAATGCTGCTCGTCCAAAATGGCTGGCAACGCTGCTCGTCCAAATCACCAAATCTAAACTAGTGGGCGGATCGCTTTTGGGGCGGAGTGCTTTCGAAGTCCTGCTCAGCAACCAGCGCACCTTTCGTCGTGAAAGCGCTACACCTCGCTTCCCTGGCAGCCAAGTAACTGATTCGTGTGGTGCATATGCTTCCCCGATGCGCTCCCACTTTATCGTAATCGCTGTCCTTTAAGCGTAAAATACCTAAAATTCTCCAAATTAGACCGAAAATCACAATAGTAAGACATATCGTTTCAGGCCGGATCTCGAGTTTGCCGCTTTCACACTGAACGAGCACATTTTGCTGAGGATGCGATCCAGGACGGCACCAGTATTTGAACGGCTGAAAGCTCGTCTCCCACCATCAGCATACCCTTTCAACCAGTGATACCCCAGATCTCACCTCACTACACAACCCAGTGATATCAGTTAACGGTTTCGCTTTCACTCGCCATTCAGGCTTTATAATAACATCCTATTGTATAATTCTGCTATCATGGCTTCTTATTTTCTTCTTTTCTTAGGAATTCGATGAACCTCTTGACATAGTTTGCTACACTACAGTTACAGGGTTTCTCGTGTTCCGAAATTGTGATTGTATGTTCGCAGATTTTACGATGGCAAAACGCCATCTCTACGTCTATGAATAAAGAGGAGAGTTGATGCGGAACCATTTGAACATTTGCGAGATTTAAATGATGTGTAAAGCAAGACCGACGCTGTGAGACTTTAAAATGTTTATTGCAGACGACTCGAAACTCATCAAAAAAGCACTAAAAGTATATCGACCTTTTTGGCAAGCTTTTGGCATTTAGCGCCTTGTTAGCCGCAGTGGTCCTATGATTAGTAAGGTTTTTACGTTAGAATCATGCTCGTAGCCTCACCTCTGATGTGGTTGCTAAAACCCTGGAGTCCAAGAAATCATTGCAAAATAAAAATTCAAAGGTGTTCCCAAAAATTCCCAGAAAGCCCTAAAATTCCCAAAAACTGGGTTAAGGTGAAACGGTGCCCCTGTGGCGAAACTTGTAGCGCAATTGCACGATAAGCGAGAGATGCGGATTCGAATC